ATACTAAATATATATAGTAAAATCTAAATACATGCATAACTACTGGCTACCTAGCCACTTTCCGTATTCTTGTTTGGGTGCAGTCACATCATGCACATCTCGTGTGACACACACCCCTGTTACCAGGGTACGTGTAACCCCGTTACATCATGAGCCTGAAAGTCGGCGAGAATAGATTTCACGCACTTCTCTTCTTATAAAGCCGTGATTAATCATGGCCCCACCTCCACAAAAATAAACATCGCATTTGGTGCGAGTAAAAAGCAATTTTAACGCAGGACATCAGATCGACCGAATTCATTGGCAACCATAATCCATGGAGAAAGGACACAATATTCATATCTTTTTAAGTGACTATTTATATGTAGTTTACACGGTAAATATATTTGCGACAGAAGCTAACTAAAGATTAAAATATACGAGTTACGACTACAATCATGAAATCTGAACCAACACAATACGTGAAGTTGTCGCAACACATGACCCACAAACATATCCATTTTTATGAACATCGCTGTGAGCTTGATCTTAGCGCTTTAACATGGTGCCTCGCCACAGTACGTCTGACCGTTGTTTTTACTCGGAAGAACGATAGTGTAATTTCACAATTAAGTAGTCTTTGCAGTGCTAGAGATGTTTGACCAATGCGTGGTCAGTTTCTTTGATTTCAACCTATAATTGATAGAAATGTTGTCGCAATTTGATCTCTCTGGAAATGCCTAAACTGTCCACTTTGTCGGCCTCGACAAATTTGTTTGGCACATTGCCTTGTCCCGCTGGCATGTCCAACATACTGATATGCACGCTCCATGGCCACAACAAACCAACGTTAAGTCTATCCCGAAAAGCCTCTTCGTTTTCCAAATCAATTATCAAGTCTTGTATCGCGCAAGCTTTTATTGGCGATGGTAATATTTTTAAACTACCCATCTAGTATCCCGTGCGTACGAATCTTGGGCGATTCTACAGTTTCCAACGCCTTGTAGCCGTACTCTGCTTTAATCCACGTGTCCTACTTTATGCTCTGCTCTGCCTGACTGAGTTTTTTTATTCCAGTCGTAAATCAAATTCATCACACCATCGTAATTTAGCGATTTTGACTCATCACAATCACACCATCAATGCCTGACACCCATTGTCTCCTTTACATTGGCTTAAGTCCTCACGGCGCTTCTCCTAGGCCACAGCAACGTCCGACTATTTTGTTGATCGCAAATGTTGTTTGTCGCTGGGTGCGTCGATTTTCTTGACACGTTGTGTGACGGACACAATCCTCTCTTTAGAGCTTTAGACTCAGTTACTATAGGGTTTGTCAGTTTTCCCTTGACAATCATGGTATCTTTTCATCGCTCACCCAGCTACTTGTTACTGGACCGTGCATATACAGTGTAAGGGGAGCCGAGAACAACAATGTCATCCATGCCTGGGATCATGCTTGTCCAAACCACTGTCTGTGACACCCCTTTTGGGATTATCGTCATATGTATCGAGATGCTAGTGAAATTGCAGTAGCGTTCTACATTGTACGTCTGGAATTGTGTGAGTATTTGCACTGCAACTTCAGATGGTCCAACATAACCTAGTAATCTTAACACTCCCCCTGTTTGGTTATGACAGTTTATCCGCTATTCGCAGCTGTTATACATCACTTAAAATGGACTGATTAAGGAATAAGATTTTAGGGTTTGTCATACTCGGATCAGCATGATGAACGATTTCTCTGACACATTTTCTGCTCCTTCAGCTACATCACGGTCAAGTATTTAATATGAGTAATGCTACCATCAACTGCACTTTTAGGCAGAGATCGATTTGATGCCTAATACCGAAGTATTTTTAGTTGTGAATTGCGAATGTTTGTGCTTGCATATTCGAAAATTAGTCTTAAACTGCCACGATATAATTTGGCGGCAAAAGTTGCTGCGCCGTTCCGACCTATTACTGGTCCAGAATATCAAATTAATTTTCTCGCTACATGCAAAACCGATGCCATTTCTGCAGAAATATATTGACCCACCTTAAGATGCCGCTTAGGAGTCCTTCATTTAGCCACTACTATTGGAGTGTAGCGATTCCTGTCAAGTGTCTAAGATTTTATTTATATGCTATCATTATTGGGTTCTGGCATATAAGACCCCGCACGATTTTTCATCGTCATACAAGCCGGTTCTTTAGCGGAGCATGTACTGAAATCTTGTGAATTTCCTTTCATATTTGATCCAATTGTATCAATTTACAGCTCAGTAAAAACAGCAGAATATCGGTATTTACGAGCATTCTCAATATAGGTGCATTGTCGCAAGGCGAAAAGCCGTCAATAATGACCGCAATCATATCGTGGACGCGTCAGGAAGCGCTGAGATTAATAATAAATACGACGTTAGACTTGCGGGCATGAGTTGCGTTGCCCAATGCAAGCCCAAGATCTAAAGCATAATGCTCTAACACTGCGGTGGCTCTGCGTAGATTCATGGGGGACGATTTGATGACAAGGACACCTGCTCAGGAAGAAATAGCTATGTGGATAAGTTATGTGCAATATGACGAAAGTCCGACAGTCGTTCTGCCCAACCCTAGATGCTCCGGACCCTGCAGTATAGTCGGACCAATTATCGAGATCTGATAAGTCTGACCAAGTAAAGCTGACGGTCAAGGAATCAAGGCCAGAAGCGAGGACAAAGTCTGCAGGTGGCAAGTGCTACAGAGACTTCGGATTTGTTTTTTCTCTGTAGGTGTAGACCTGGCCGATCGAATAATTTGATTTTAAAAATTCTACATGTGCAATATATACAACGTGGGTATATTGCAAAAGGTGATACAAATAGAAAATATTCGCGAAATGTGATACAATTGTTTTTTAAACACTAATCATACGAGACCTGGTAAAATTACCGAGTGTAGCCATTCTTGGTTCACCGTTATATTGAAGGCGTGTGCCATGGAGACGGAGGAACTTCAGTAGAAAAGATGAACTGACGGCAAGGAGGCTGTGCGAGCAATCAAAGATGTCGCACTAGCACAAGGGAAGTGTGCAATCGTCATCAACAGAGGAAGAACGTTTCGTTTATACTTTCGACAAATCTTATTATGGGTCTAAAGATTTTACGTACAACTACTGGTTGCAATAATGACGAGCCTCAACGACGATGAGCTCGAGATAGATTGGACAGCAGAGGCTGTAGGTCCTTCTGATAATGAGAGTACTATATCTGCTGGTAGCGAGGACGGGTTCGAGGAAGAGACAGAGCTGGAATTTGTCTCAGGCATCAAGCGTAGCCGCGAAGATGAAAAGAACGAAGTTATGAACGGTGGAGATGATAAGAACGTTGTCAAGAAGCGAAAGGCGTAGTACACGCTTACACATGACAATCATTTTTTCAAGAGCTGGTATCGATGTAGTTGAATGTCTTGTAGCAGAAACCCAATGTCAAAAGACTGTAATAAACATTTCGTCCCCCCCTCTGCTGATGACGATTACACTCTGCCCTTGTGCTAGTGCGACATCTCTGATTGCTCGCACAGCCTCCTCGCCGTTAGTCCATCTCTTCTGCCTGAGTTCTTCCATCTT